CAGCAATTTTGGCAACTCGGATTTGAACTTGTTTATAAAAGTTACTCTATAAAATACTAAACAAAGAAGAAGAAGAATCAACAGTCAGCTGTGTAGTGTAATTAATTTATATAATAAACATCCCATCCACATTGAAAGACAGAAAGGAGAAGGAGCGAAGCAACAAGCAGCATCAACATGGGAAATGTATTTGCGAATCTATTCAAAGGCCTTTTCGGCAAAAAGGAAATGAGAATATTGATGGTCGGTTTGGATGCCGCTGGTAAAACCACAATTCTGTACAAACTCAAATTAGGCGAAATTGTTACAACGATACCTACTATTGGTAAGTAAGACATCTGTGATAATTGAATAAATACTAATCTGTTCCCTATTTCGTTCACTTGCAGGTTTCAATGTGGAGACTGTAGAATACAAGAATATTAGCTTTACAGTGTGGGATGTGGGCGGCCAAGACAAAATTCGTCCATTATGGAGGCATTACTTCCAGAATACACAAGTACGTTCACTTCCCATTAATCAACTTTATCAGCAATTAATTCAATCTAGATGATGTTAACAACTTGTAATGATTACTTATGATTATTCAAAGTTAATTTTTGTTTCAAGACGGGACTGATATCTCCTATTATAGACTGCATACCTTATTTCCAATCGTTATCTTCGCACCCGATTAACATTGCTTTATGTGTTTTCTTTATATATACGTTATACAGGGTCTTATCTTCGTCGTTGATAGCAACGATCGAGAGCGTATCGGCGAGGCGAGAGAGGAATTGATGCGTATGCTGGCCGAGGACGAGCTCAGAGATGCAGTCTTACTAATATTCGCCAACAAACAGGTAATTATTTAGTTAGTAGTAGACAATTAATTAGCGGATGTTTCTTCGAGCATAGCTTTTGTTAAAATTAAACAACTTCCATGACGTCAGCATTTTTGAAATAGCATACTGCGCAAACTAGACTAAAGCACGTGTTAAACAAATGTTGATTGGTGTTGATAAGAAAGAAAAACTGTAGCGCGAGATAACCAGGGTCTTGAAAGTGCACTCCCACTAATTAATAGAGAAATGTTTTTCCATTTCTTTAATCAAAACTAAATGTCCACCTTCTCTCTCTCTTTCTCTCTTCCTGTCTAGGATCTGCCAAATGCAATGAATGCGGCTGAAATTACCGATAAGTTAGGCTTGCATTCACTCAGAAATCGCAATTGGTATATACAGGCGACGTGTGCAACCAGCGGCGACGGTCTCTATGAGGGACTTGACTGGTTGTCTAACCAGCTCAAGAATGCTAATCGCTAAATAAACTACAATAATAGCAGCAGAAACAACAACCGCAAAAAACAACAACAACCACAACAACAAAAATAATTATACACTAAACTTTGAAATCTTCAACAACAACAAGAATAGCCACAACAACAACTAGAGACAACGGCATCTTACATGTGGGAATAAAAATTATAAAAWCAAGAAGACAAAGATGAAGAGCGATGTTCGGGTTCTGCGCATTTCCATATTTTCCAACAAAAACATAAAAAGTAAAAGAATAAACACGCAAAGCCGATGCTCGCATAATNTTTAATTTTCTTTGTTTGTGTCCGTCGCTTGGCAGCAAATCAAGTAACAACAATAAACACATAAACTATATTTAAATAAAAAATAAAAAACGGCAAGTACTATTTATAAAGGTAATTCTAAATAAAATTTAAAATAAACAAAACATGCTGAACCATTTTTGATACACATGAAAATAAATATTTCAATTTATTCATTAATGTTTACTGATGTTATCGATAATTTAAAAGCATATTTTGATCAATCGCCGACAAATTTTACTCAACACTGTCCCGGCACGTGCAGGGTTGCTTTTGTCAGTAACGATAACACAGTCTTTGCTGCTGGTGCCAATTTATAAGTAATTTTTCAATTAAATTAACAGAAAACCTGACAAAAACATTGTTAAAATGTCGGCCAAGCAAAACTCAAAGAAATCTAAGTGGGCACTGGACTTCAATGTTAGGTAAATATAGAAACTGTTGTAAATAACACGTCAGGCTAATTTTCCTGCTCCTGTGATGCAGCAAAAATGCAGATATGCCCTCGCCGCCTGGATATAATCCCACGGCTCTAGTCAATCAAACTGAAGTCGTACGTGATCAACGTTTGGTAATTAAGAAATCATGGGATTTGGCATTGGGACCACTGAAACAGGTATGCAATGAATACGACTAGAGATGGCCGGTTGTAACCTTTGGATTTTATTTACTCTCTAGATACCTATGAACCTGTTCATTATGTATATGTCCGGCAACTCGATATCCATTTTCCCGATYATGATGGTAGGCATGATGTTGATACGTCCGATTAAGGCAATGTTTACCACACAAGTGACTTCCAAAATGGCCGAGGGTGCACAGGGCACCGGTCAGCGCATAATCTATATACTGGGAAATCTGGCGAACGTAGCGCTCGCTCTGTATAAATGTCATAGCATGGGCCTGCTGCCCACCCACGCCTCCGACTGGCTGGCCTTTGTGCAGCCCCAAACGCGTTTAGAGTATTATGGAGGAGGTGTTTCATTTATTTAGATTGTAACTTTAAACGTATCCTTTATTTGAGTCATAGATAAATTTGTTTAACACATAACAAAAATGTAACTAAATATATATATTGTCTTTCGTCTCGTCCGTCTCAATCATCCAAAATCTTTTTGGCCTCCTTTTTGATGTCATGCACTATCTGTTCGGTTGGCGATCTGCGAAGAGTAAACAAAAAACAGAATTTGATAGAGTATGTATTTAAAATTGCGGTCAATTTATTCATAACTTATATTTAACAATTAAATGGTTAATTTTGTTATTTCGGAACCGGTATTCAATTGCAGTTTTTGAGTATTATTTTGCTCCCACATTTTGTTTTGAGAAATCCAAAATGTGTGTTATTTATTCGACATTTGAAAGTCAGATACACTGCTGTATTGGAAATTTGTATTTGCGTTCGCGGAACAAAGCTATATTTTGATTGTTAATAAAATTGCTTAGGTTTAAAAGGCTACATATCCGTAGTTGAGTTTTTACTTTTTGCCCTCGATGAGTTCGCGGAGTTTTTTGTTCATTTTTTCAACCAGCTTGGGGGGATCATCTACGCGAGGTACCTGTGGAARRAAGTGGATTAAGTAGAGCTTCACATTTTCATTTCTTTTAAGAGAGCATACTTCGTAATTCTGCGATACGTAGACACCTGTGTAAACTCCGGCCCCAAAGGTGAGCTGCAATAAAAATATAAATGAGTTTTATTAATAAATTATTCATGTATATAAGTTTCAAGCTTTTTAAAGCTGCAGACCAAGCAGAAAATCATTCGACGACGGCTTCGCTTGGCCGGGCACGGAGGTATCTCGTCACATGATTGGCATGAAGATTGCNTGTTATTTATTCGACATTTGAAAGTCAGATACACTGCTGTATTGGAAATTTGTATTTGCGTTCGCGGAACAAAGCTATATTTTGATTGTTAATAAAATTGCTTAGGTTTAAAAGGCTACATATCCGTAGTTGAGTTTTTACTTTTTGCCCTCGATGAGTTCGCGGAGTTTTTTGTTCATTTTTTCAACCAGCTTGGGGGGATCATCTACGCGAGGTACCTGTGGAARRAAGTGGATTAAGTAGAGCTTCACATTTTCATTTCTTTTAAGAGAGCATACTTCGTAATTCTGCGATACGTAGACACCTGTGTAAACTCCGGCCCCAAAGGTGAGCTGCAATAAAAATATAAATGAGTTTTATTAATAAATTATTCATGTATATAAGTTTCAAGCTTTTTAAAGCTGCAGACCAAGCAGAAAATCATTCGACGACGGCTTCGCTTGGCCGGGCACGGAGGTATCTCGTCACATGATTGGCATGAAGATTGCCATCGTTTCGCCAATATTTGCCTTCCTAATCCAAGCAATTTCATTTTCTTAGCTTTACGATTTTTAAAGWAATTTCCAAATAATTACATTAAATTTGTAAAAAAAATTGATGTGTTGCTTGAATTTTAATCTGACTACTGTGATGGAATAAACATATTCAAGAATGACTTTTCTATGATATTGAAACATGAGATTATGGCCAAATAGAAGATACATTTGTATCTAGCCAAAAGGCGGCATCGTATATTGAGATCCATTTAGATATCGATAGCTCGGAATATTTTTTTGGAGTTGCCATACTAATTTATTTCATATGCGCATTAAACTTTGACACTAACCATTCATAAAGTTAGTGATTTTGAGCAAGGATTCACTTCAGGTGCATAAAAGCGGAGCCTGCGATTTATGGATCCATTTTGACATATGACGACAGAAGCACGAAGCTGGATAAGCTGACGTATTTAAAATTATTATAAATAAACAGTATTTCGTTTGCTGGTGTTTTTTGCATATTACTGGCTAAATTGTTGTTATGTCTTTGTCCCATGATACACAGTGACAACAATAACACAGCAACGGCATTAAATCATCGCCGTAAAAAGAACAGCACGATTTGTACGATTAACTTATAAACACATGACAAAAGAACACTGTCGACTTGTTGCAGTCGTGCAATCGAAAATTTCACACACTTTCCCTTTTATTACGTGCATTACTCACCAAAAACTTCAACATTGTCCAATAATTAAAATCACCTTTTTCGCCCGCACGCGCCAGAGTGAGAACTAAAACAACAACCGAGTTCAAGAAATTGTCAAATCTGTACGGAACGACCACCGCGGGAGAGCGCGCTGGTGTGCCTGTGTACTTG